TTGATCCTAGCGCCGCACATTATTTTCATTTATTGGAGGTTTTTGCTTGGTTACCTTGTGTTTGGCTGCTTTTTAAGTATTTTTAGGTGCTCACATTTACCCTTTTTTTCTATAGTGATTGCATCACACATGTGCCACAAAAACATCAGAGAGAGAGCAATGATTCAAGGGCCACAGTCGATACCTCTTTTAATACAAGAGAGGATTTTGCTCGCTTTAGAAACTGCAGCTTGGCATTGCATGCCATTGTTAAGCTTATGATCTACCAGAACTCCCAGATCCTTCTCCACCATTGATTCCCCCAGTTGTACCCCCCCCCCTAGTATGTATGATGCATGCATATTCTTAGCCCCCAAGTGCATAACCTTACATTTATCAACATTAAACCTCATTTGCCACATAGTTGCCCAATTAAGCAGTGCATTGAGGTCGGTTTGTAAGTTGGAGATATCCTGTAAGGACGTTATTCTGCTGCACAGTTTGGTGTCATCTGCAAAGTCTGAAATGGGATTTATAATCCCAGACCCTATATCATTTATAAATGTATTGTGACAGTAGGCAGGTGAAATCCCCTGGTTGTGTCCTGGATGGACGATACATTGGTCCAAGGTTCAGACTTTATGGGGATTTGTTCCACTAGAGGGAAGTGCTGAGTCCTTCAGCACTGAGGTAATGAGCCCAGCTGAAGGTAGCGGGCTCATTAAGGCTGGTATAAAACTTCCCAGCTTCCTTAGGGAGTTGCTCCAACCTGGAACCAGATGTATGCCTGAACTGGCTGGGGAGCAAACATCTGATCTGTGTGCAGGGAGACAAAAGCCTGTGTGGCTAGCCTCCAACTACTAGCAACTAGGTATAGCATCAGGCTGTACCTAGTGGGTAGCTAGGGAAAGCTGTTGGTACAGTAATGCAGGCCATAGATGGGTCGAAAATCGGCCGATTTTTCTTTTAAAAAAACGAACAATCGGTCGTTCAAGTGGCCGACGTTACCACCAATGGTAAAAAAAATCGGCGATTTTCATCCCGTCTACAGCCAGCAAAAAGTGTCCCTGCAGAGATCTCTGCTATTTCTGACAGTTCTCTGACAGTTCCTTGACATTTACAGCGGTTGCAACATTGTATCTATTTGTTTCCATTTAGGATACAGATGTTTTTATTCGGAAACAAATAGATACAATGTTGCAACCGCTGTAAATGTCAAGGAACTGTCAGAGAACTGTCAAAGATAGCGGAGCTCTCTGCAGAGACACTTTTTGCTGGACTGGAATTCCTCTTATTTTCATCCTACTTCTTCTTCTTCTTTTTCATCCTCATCCTCTTCTTCTTCTTCTTCATGCTCATCCTCTTCTTCTTCTTCTTCTTCATCCTCTTCTTCTTCTTCATCCTCATCCTCTTCTTCTTCTTCTTCCTCATCCTCTTCTTCTTCTTCTTCTTCTTCATCATCCTCATCCTCTTCTTCTTCATCCTCATCCTCTTCTTCTTCTTCTTCTTCTTCATCCTCATCCTCTTCTTCTTCTTCTTCATCCTCTTCTTCTTCATCATCCTCATCCTCTTCTTCATCCTCATCCTCTTCTTCTTCTTCTTCTTCATGCTCATCCTCTCTTCTTCTTCATCCTCTTCTTCTTCTTCATCCTCATCCTCTTCTTCTTCTTCTTCCTCATCCTCTTCTTCTTCTTCTTCTTCATCCTCATCCTCTTCTTCATCCTCATCCTCTTCTTCTTCTTCTTCATCCTCATCCTCTTCTTCTTCTTCTTCTTCATCCTCATCCTCTTCTTCATCCTCATCCTCTTCTTCTTCTTCATCATCATCATCATCCTCTTCTTCTTCATCCTCATCCTCTTTCTTCTTCTTCATCCTCATCCTCTTCTTCTTCATCCGCATCCTCTTCTTCATCATCATCCTCTTCTTCTTCATCCTCATCCTCTTCTTCTTCATCATCCTCATCCTCTTCTTCCTCATCCTCTTCTTCTTCTTCCTCATCCTCTTCTTCTTCTTCTCCATCCTCATCCTCTTCTTCTTATTATTCATCCTCATCCTCTTCTTCTTCATCCTCGTCCTCTTCTTCTTCTTCTTCTTCCTCATCCTCTTCTTCTTCCTCATCCTCTTCTTCTTCTTCATCCTCATCTTCTTCCTCATCCTCTCTTCTTCTTCTTCTTCATCCTCTTCTTCCTCTTCTTCTTCTTCATCCTCTTCTTCATCCTCTTCTTCTTTTTCTTCTTTTTGTCTTCCTCTTGCAGGTCACTGCTCATGCGCAGATTTTTTATCGGTAAAAAATCGGCCGTTTAGCCCATTAATGCCGCGAAAATCGGCCGATCGGCAAAATCGGCCGATTTTTTTTCCAACTTTACCGATAAAAAAAATCTGCCAAAATTTTTGGCAGATTTTTTTTATCGGTAAAGTTGGAAAAAAATCGGCCGATTTTGCCGATCGGCGGATTTTCGCGGCAATGATGGGCAAATCGGCCGATTTTTTACCGATAAAAAATCTGCGCATGAGCAGTGACCTGCAAGAGGAAGACAAAAAGAAGAAAAGAAGAAGAGGAAGAGAAAGAGGAAGAAAAAAAGAGGATGAAGAAGAAGAGGATGATGATGATAATGAAGAAGAAGAAGAAGAAGAAGAAGAAGAGGATGATGATGATGAAGAGGATGAAGATGATGAAGAAGAAGAAGAAGAAGAAGAAGAGGGTGATGATGAAGAAGAAGAAGAAGAAGAGGATGATGATGAAGAAGAAGACGAAGAAGAAGAAGAAGAAGAGGATGATGATGAAGAAGAAGAAGAAGAGGATGATGATGATGAAGAAGAGGATGATGATGATGATGAAGAAGAAGAAGAAGAAGAGGATGATGATGATGATGAAGAAGAAGAGGATGATTTTGATGAAGAAGAAGAAGAGGAGGAGGATGATGAAAGAAGAGGATGATGATGATGATGAAGAAGAAGAGGATGATGATGATGAAGAAGAAGAAGAAGAAGAAGAAGAGGATGATGATGAAGAAGAAGATGATGATGATGAAGAAGAGGATGATGATGAAGAAGAAAAAGAGGAGGATGATGATGTTGAAGAAGAAGAAGAGGATGATGATGATGATGAAGAAGAAGAGGAAGATGATGAAGAGGAAGAAGAAGAAGAAGAAGAAGAGGATGATGAAGAAGAAGAAAAAAAGAAGAAGAGGATGATGATGATGATGATGAAGAAGAAGAGGATGATGATGATGATGAAGAAGAAGAGGATGATGATGATGATGAAGAAGAAGAGGATGATGAAGAAGAAGAAGAAGAAGAAGAAGAAGAAGAAGAAGAGGATGACGATGAAGGAAGGATGATGATGATGAAGAAGAAGAAGATGATGATGAAGAGGATGATGATGATGAAGAGGATGATGATGATGAAGAGGATGATGATGAAGAAGAGGATGATGATGAAGAAGAAGAGGAGATGATGATGAAGAAGAAGAGGATGATGATGATGATGATGAAGATGAAGAAGAAGAAGAGGATGATGAAGAAGAAGAGGAGGAGGAGGATGATGATGAAGATGAAGAAGAAAAGGATGATGATGATGATGATGATGAAAAGGATGATGATGATGATGAAGAAGAAGAAGAAGAGGATGATGAAGAAGAAGAAGAAGAAGAAGAGGATGATGAAGAAGAAGAAGAAGAGGATGATGATGAAGAAGAAGAAAGATGAGGATGATGAAGAAGAAGAAGAAGAAGAAGAGGATGATGAAGAAGAAGAGGATGATGAAGAAGAAGAAGAAGAAGAAGAGGATGAAGAAGAAGAGGATGATGATGATGAAGAAGAAGAAGAAGAGGAGGAGGAGGATGAAGAAGAAGAAGAGGATGATGATGATGAAGAAGAGGACGATGAAGAAGAAGAAGAGGATGATGATGATGAAGAAGAGGAGGATGATGATGATGATGAAGAAGAAGATGAATGAAGAAGAAGAAGAAGAAGAAGAAGAAGAAGAAGAGGATGATGATGATGAAGAAGAGGATGATGATGATGAAGAAGAAGAGGATGAAGAAGAAGAAGAAGAAGAAGAAGAGGATGATGAAGAAGAAGAAGAAGAGGATGATGATGATGATGAAGAAGAAGAAGAAGAGGATGATGATGAAGAAGAAGAGGATGATGATGATGAAGAAGATGATGATGATGATGATGAAGAAGAAGAGGATGATGATGAAGAAGAAGAAGAAAAAGAAGGATGAAAAATAAGAGGAATTCCAGTCCAGCAAAAAGTGTCCCTGCAGAGAGCTCCGCTATTTCTTTGACATTTACAGCGGTTGCAACATTGTATCTATTTGTTTCCGAATAAAAACATCTGTTTCCTAAATGGATACAAATAGATACATTGTTGCAACCTCTGTAAATGTCAAGGAACTGTCAAAGAAATAGCAGAGCTCTCTGCAGGGACACTTTTTGTCGGCTGTAGACGGGATGAAAATCGGCCAATTTTTTTTACCATTGCTGGTAACGTCGGCCGCTTGAACGACCGATGTTTCGTTTTTTAAAAGAAAAATCGGACGTTTTTCTCCCCATCTATGGCCTGCATAAGTAGCCAAGTTGGCCAGGATTTAATTTGATGTTTCTTTTTGGTTTGACATTTTCTGTACATATTGTAAATAAACTGCACCTTTTTGTTTTTTCACCTCCACTGTTGTGCTGTGCCTGTCTTTTTGTGTTGTGCACCCATCCAGGGGGTCACACACCTGCTGCCGAGCAAATCCCGTTACAGTATTAAAAAGTAAGGGTCCCAACACTGAACCTTGGGGTACACCACTGACAACCCTAGACCATTCAGAGTATGAATCATTAACCACTACTCTCTGAATACGATCTTTTAGCCAGTTTTCTATCCATTTATATACATATTTTTCCAAGCCTGTAGACTTTACCTTACACATTAGCCGTGTGTGGGGAACTGTGTCAAACGCTTCTGCAAAATCCAAGTATACCACGTCCACCGCCACCCCTCTGTCCAAGTATACCACGTCCACCGCCACCCCTCTGTCCAAGTATACCACATCCACCGCCACCCCTCTGTCCAAGTATACCAGGTCCACCGCCACCCTCTGTCCAAGTATACCACGTCCACCGCCACCCCTCTGTCCAAGTATACCACGTCCACCGCCACCCCTCTGTCCAAGTATACCACATCCACCGCCACCCCTCTGTCCAAGTATACCACGTCCACCGCCACCCCCCTCTGTCCAAGTATACCAGGTCCACCGCCACCCCTCTGTCCAAGTATACCACGTCCACCGCCACCCCTTTGTCCAAGTATACCACGTCCACCGCCACCCCTCTGTCCAAGTATACCACGTCCACCGCCACCCCTCTTTCCAAGTATACCATGTACACCGCCACCCCTCTTTCCAAGTATACCATGTACACCGCCACCCCTCTTCCAAGTATACCATGTACACCGCCACCCCTCTTTCCAAGTATACCATGTACACCGCCACCCCTCTGTCCAAGTATACCATGTACACCGCCACCCCTCTTCCAAGTATACCATGTACACCGCCACCCCTCTTTCCAAGTATACCATGTACACCGCCACCCCTCTGTCCAAGTATACCATGTACACCGCCACCCCTCTGTCCAAGTATACCACATCCACCGCCACCCCTCTGTCCAAGTATACCAGGTCCACCGCCACCCCTCTGTCCAAGTATACCACGTCCACCGCCACCCCTCTGTCCAAGTATACCACGTCCACCGCCACCCCTCTGTCCAAGTATACCACATCCACCGCCACCCCTCTGTCCAAGTATACCACGTCCACCGCCACCCCTCTGTCCAAGTATACCAGGTCCACCGCCACCCCTCTGTCCAAGTATACCACACATCCACCGCCACCCCCTTTGTCCAAGTATACCACGTCCACCGCCACCCCTCTGTCCAAGTATACCACGTCCACCGCCACCCCTCTTTCCAAGTATACCATGTACACCGCCACCCCTCTTTCCAAGTATACCATGTACACCGCCACCCCTCTGTCCAAGTATACCACGTCCACCGCCACCCCTCTGTCCAAGTATACCACATCCACCGCCACCCCTCTGTCCAAGTATACCACGTCCACCGCCACCCCTCTGTCCAAGTATACCAGGTCCACCGCCACCCCTCTGTCCAAGTATACCACGTCCACCGCCACCCCTTTGTCCAAGTATACCACGTCCACCGCCACCCCTCTGTCCAAGTATACCACGTCCACCGCCACCCCTCTTTCCAAGTATACCATGTACACCGCCACCCCTCTTTCCAAGTATACCATGTACACCGCCACCCCTCTTTCCAAGTATACCATGTACACCGCCACCCCTCTTTCCAAGTATACCATGTACACCGCCACCCCTCTGTCCAAGTATACCATGTACACCGCCACCCCTCTGTCCAAGTATACCATGTACACCGCCACCCCTCTTTCCAAGTATACCATGTACACCGCCACCCCTCTTTCAAGTATACCATGTACACCGCCACCCCTCTGTCCAAGTATACCATGTACACCGCCACCCCTCTGTCCAAGTATACCACATCCACCGCCACCCCTCTGTCCAAGTATACCAGGTCCACCGCCACCCCTCTGTCCAAGTATACCACGTCCACCGCCACCCCTCTGTCCAAGTATACCACGTCCACCGCCACCCCTCTGTCCAAGTATACCACGTCCACCGCCACCCCTCTGTCCAAGTATACCACGTCCACCGCCACCCCTCTGTCCAAGTATACCAGGTCCACCGCCACCCCTCTGTCCAAGTATACCACATCCACCGCCACCCCCTTTGTCCAAGTATACCACGTCCACCGCCACCCCTCTGTCCAAGTATACCACGTCCACCGCCACCCCTCTTTCCAAGTATACCATGTACACCGCCACCCCTCTTTCCAAGTATACCATGTACACCGCCACCCCTCTTTCCAAGTATACCATGTACACCGCCACCCCTCTTTCCAAGTATACCATGTACACCGCCACCCCTCTGTCCAAGTATACCATGTACACCGCCACCCCTCTGTCCAAGTATACCATGTACACCGCCACCCCTCTTTCCAAGTATACCATGTACACCGCCACCCCTCTTTCCAAGTATACCATGTACACCGCCACCCCTCTGTCCAAGTATACCACGTCCACCGCCACAACTCTGTCCAAGTATACCATGTACACCGCCACCCCTCTGTCCAAGCGGTTTTGCTCACCCCCTCATAAAAAGAAATCAGATTTGTTTGACATCTTCTGTCTTTCATGAATCCATGCTGTCTGTTGCTTAAAATATTTTTTTCCAGCAAGAACTCATCTATGTGGTCTTTTCTTAAACTCTCCAGTATCTTCCCAACTATAGAAGTTAAACTAACAGGTCCATGATAACTTGGTAAATATTTTGACCCCTTTTTAAATACTGGCACCATATTGGCCTTACGCCAATCCAGTGGTACTATGCCAGTCATTAAAGAGTCCCTAAAATTTAGAAGCAATGGCTTTGAAACGGGCAATAGGGGATCATGGGGCCCCTGTGTCCTTGCCCAAACTCAAAAAAGCCTATGAAAAAGGAACCAGGGACATCTCATGGGGCCCCCTACTGACCCCAGGCCATTGGGCAGTGCCTGAGCTTCCAAATGGTCAGTCCGCCCCTGCTTTGAAATGACAGAGCTCAATTCTTTAAGGACCCGTGGGTGTATGCTATCCGATCCAGATGCTTTATTCACCTTTATTCTGTCTAAATATTTTGTTACGCCACCAACCACATGGCTTTGAAGCTGGCAAAGCCATGTGGTTGGTGGCGTAACGCATGGGGAGGAGCCTAGTGACATCATTGCTTTTTACGGAGCTGGAGTTTTACATTTTAAATCGATCTGTTACTGCTTCTATCATGTGAGTGACACTCTGGAACAATTTTATGTGAAATTAAACAGTAATACATTATAGGAGATGTTCTCTGTTCTCTCTGTATGTGGAGTTAAGCTGAGAAGAGTCCGGTACATACAGTCATTGAAGGGGTGCCTGTCATCAGCTCTCTGCTGCCATCTAGAGCATATTTTTGGAATTACCAGACTTGGTTGACTTGTATTAATGTATCACGGTATGAGGTGAACGGCCATCTATATATTTTTAGGTGAAGGAACACAAAGTCAAGGTGGAGCCAGGGGCGGACTGACCATTTGGAAACTCGGGCACTGCTCGAGGGCCCGGGGTCAGTAGGGGGCCCCATGAGATGCCCCTGATACCTTTTTCATAGGCTTTTTTGAGTTTGGGCAAGGACACAGGAGCCCCATGATCCCCTATTGCCCGGGGGCCCCATGAGTTGTCTGCCCCTGGGTGGAGCACTGTGTTTTCTGAAAAGACTTAATTTGTCCGGAGCACATCGTATTGATTTTTCACCATTCAAGCACTTTATATATATTTTTTCTAATTTATATTGCATATTTTGATTAAACTATCACATTTTAACTTTTTATGGACTATTATGTAAATATGAGTTAGCGCAACACTCTTTATATGTTTTATGTTTTAAGTGTGGGATCACCTTTTAAGTGTTATTGCAGCGGCTCTGTTTTATTAGCTCATTCACAAGTTTGATAGCCCACATTGTTTTATTTTATTTTACTTATTCATTTATTGGAAAGTAGAAAAGCTGTAGACTTCACTGGCCCCCTGAAAGAGGACCACCTGGCGGCAGGGAAGGAGCAGCCCAGCTGGTAGGCCTGGTAGCAGTCACCAACCCAACAGCAGCACAGGAGAAGGACTCAGTAAGTGCACCTACACCCCCTGGGCCAGAGAGGGGAGAGAACATTTGGGTGGGAAACCTAACTCGCTCTGCAGCTGGGACTATTACCCTTCTAGTCATAGTTACTACTGGATCCCCTGTCCAGGGATTCCTCCATACAACTGGATTGAGGAACATCTGGCTTTGGAGATGCTGGCTAGCTCTGCAAAAGAGGATTTCTGTGTAAAGACTTGTAAAATAGTTCAGGAAGTTTGTGCTTAGTTGCCATTCCCTTGGGCATCCCATACACCCCTTACTCCATCCAAGTTCTATATTCCTAATAAAACTTCAAAACAAATCTCAAGGACTGGTTTTCTGTCTCCTGGTACAAGTCTACATGGAAAATGTGTATTGCCTGGCTGTGCAGGACGATAGGGGGAAGCAAAACTCAGCAACTCCTAAGGGGGTAGTACTACATGTGGGGGCTCATAATTCTGAGATTTTCCTATAGCAACCTGCCTGCCATTACCCCTAGCAACCAATGAGCCAAGAAAGTTAAACTGTTACTGTTGTTGCCTGTAGCAACCATGCCGGGCTTATCAAAAAAATCTCCCTGATGCTCTACAGCTGGCTGGTGAGAAAAGGCTGTACTTTGATAAATCTGCTCAAGTCAGAACACGTGCTTTGCTGGCACTATTGCAGTTGCCCGGAGCAACCGGAACGGCCCATCAACTTGCAAATGTCTTTTCGCTGCTCTACAGGTTGCCACACAAAAGACTATGCCTTAAATATACTTGCTATAATCAGTGAAGTGCCTGCTATTACTCTTTAGCTTGCTGGCCTTTGTCCAGAGCAACCGGGGTGGCCTACCAGTCTACACAAGTCCCTTTGCGGCTCAACAGGTGGCTCCAACAAGAGACTATGTAAGCTGTGTGTTTGCAAATGCCATTGAACTGTCTAACACTTCTCTGCATGCTGTTGCCTGGAGCAATCGGGACGGCCCATTAGTGTTCTCAAGTCTTTTTGCTGCTCAACAGGTGGATGCTACAAAAGACTTTGCCCTACCAAGCGTATTGTAGCCTGCAGATGTTGGTGCTTGCCACGTGTCCTTTCTGGCCATTGTCCGGGGCAATCAGTGGTCTGCTACCATGTGGATTACAAATGCCCAGCTGTTTTACTCTAGCTGGGCCTAGAGACATTATTGGTGCAACCATGTTCAGTGGGGGTGTGTGCTTTGTGTCCCGCTGCTGCCCGTACGGAACTTAAGTGCTACAGTTCTTGCCCAGTCAGTCAGTCTATTCCTGCCTGGAATATCAGGGGTTACTGCTATTTCATAGTTAGTCTGGCTAAAAAAAGACAAAAGTCCATCCAGTTCAACCATAAAAAAAAAAAAGTTATAATTTTATACCCACGGTTGATCCAGAGCAAAGCATGATCCAATTTGCTCCTGCAGAGGAACAAAATCCTTCCTGATCCTCCAAGAGGTAGTCACATTTTCCCTGGATCAACTTTACCTATAAATGTTAGTATCCAGTTATAATCTGTGTATCTAAGAAAGAATCCAGGCCTTTTTTAAAGCAATCCACTGAGTTGGCCAGAACCAACTCTTGAGGGAGTCTATTCCACATTTTCACAGCTCTCACTGTGAAGAAACCTTTCTGTATTTGGTGATTAAATCTCTTATCCTCCAGACATAAAGAGTGCTTGCTTGTCCTCTGCTACTGTGGGAAGATTTCTGCCTGGCAAACTGGCTGGTGCAAAAGAGTCGCGAGGAAGGGCATATCCACGCCCACAGGCACGCCCATACGCCTGCCCTAAAAACTGCACTCTACACCCAACACATGGAGAGAGAGAGTGAGAGGAGGAAGATGGCAGCTGCACTTACAGTGGGTCTGTGAAACTTCGTACCGGAACTTACCCTGGTGGACACCGGGATAAGCCTGGAGCATAGCGGCTGCTTTGCTCTGGGACTCAAGGAGGAGATGGAGAGACTCTGTCTATTGTGTCCTGAGTGCAGGAGACCGACCCCCCTGATCATTGAGTGGATCAGGTGCGGGCACTGTGAGGTGCCATGGACCAGGCTGCTGCCCAGCAATCTGGCGACATGCAC